CCCCCCCCCCCCGCCCTTTGCTCGAGCGCCCTCCTCAAAGCAAGCCCGGCCAAGATTGCGCGGCTCGAGCCAGCGAGCCCGGCCACACACGCCGCCCTTACCTAAGCGGGATCTTGATGGCCAGGTAGCGGTCCACGGCCACGGCCAGCAGGCTGAAGATGGAGCCCTGGGTGAGCACCAGCACGAAGCAGGCCAGGAAGAGGCAGCCGTGGAAGTCGGTGGTCAAGCCCACGCTGATGGTCACGGCGAAGGGGATGGCCAGCAGCCCCACGGCCACGTCGGCCACGGCCAGCGAGACCAGGAAATAGTTGGTGGCCGTCTTCAGACGGCTGTTCAACGCCACCGCCCAGCAGACCAGCACGTTGCCCGCGATGGCCAGCCCGGCCATCAGCAGCTCCACCGCGATGTACAGGCGGATCATGGCGCGGGCCGGGACGGGGACCCAGCCGGGACCGCCTGCCGCCCGCCGGAGGACGGTCCCCGACCTGGGCTCAGCGCTGGCGAGGCGCGCATCCCCGCCAGGGGCACCCAGAGGCCATGTAGCCGCACCCGCCGTCGGGGCGCGGGGCCCCTTCCCGGGGCTGGTCCGGACGCCACCCGCGATCCTGAAGGGGCTCCACCGGGCAAGGCCAGGCTGGCACAATCCCGCCGGTGGTTCCGCAGCTCCGCCGGCCGGGCTGCGCTTTTTTCCCCCCCTCCCAGGGATCGAACCGACGGACGGCGAAGCTCCCGCCGCGCAGCTCCCCGGCGAGGCGCTCGCTCGCCTTTGGCGGAGGAAGCGGCTGCTGCGCCTCTATAAGGCACATGGAGCCCCGGGAGGGGGCGTGGCCGCGGCGGAGGCGGGCCGTGATTGGCTGAGGAGGCTCTCCCGTAAATCCCCGAGTAAGGGCGGCGCTGCAATTTTCCGCGCCGGCCGAAACGCGCACGAGGAGGAGGAGGAGGAGGAGGAGGAGGAAAAAAGCGGGCGGTGGCCGAGACGGAGGGAAGCTCATCCGTGCCGGGCTGGGGAAGACGCGTTTCTGACTCGGCCGGCCTACCTCGCGGGGCTGTTGGAGCAGAGACGTCCCTTCTCTGCAGAGTTTTTTTTTTTTCTTCTTCTTCCAGGAGCGCCGCGGATTGAAGCGTCTGGCCGGGAGAAGGCACCGAGCGCCGAGCTTCGTGCTTTCCGGCTAAAACTAGACTGGACAGGCTGGAGAGAATTAATCATTAGGTTGCTTGCAGAAGGAGCTGCACTTTGCCCATGCTCAGAAGGAGCGGCGCTTTGCCCATGCTCAGGAGGAGCCGCGCTTTGCCCATGCTCAGAAGTAGCTGCACTTTGGCTATGCTCAGACGGAGCGGCGCTTTGCCCATGCACAGAAGGAGCGGCGCTTTGGCTATGTTCAGAAGGAGTTGCGCTTTGGCCATGCTCAGAGGAGCTACGCTTTGCCCATGCTCAGAAGCAGCTGCTCTTTGCCTATGTTCAGAAGGAGCTGCACTTTGGCTATGCTCAGAAGGAGCGGCGCTTTGCCCATGCTCAGAGGAGCTACGCTTTGCCCGTGCTCAGAAGGAGCTGCACTTTGGCTGTGCTCAGAAGGAATTCCGCTTTGGCCATGCTCAGAGGAGCTACGCTTTGCCCATGCTCAGAAGGAGCTGCTCTCTGCCTATGTTCAGAAGGAGTTGCGCTTTGGCTATGCTCAGAAGGAATTCCGCTTTGCCCATGCTCAGAAGGAGCTGCACTTTGGCTGTGCTCAGAAGGAATTCCGCTTTGGCTATGCTCAGAAGGAATTCCGCTTTGCCCATGCTCAGAAGGAGCTGCACTTTGGCTGTGCTCAGAAGGAATTCCGCTTTGGCCAAGCTCAGAAGGAGTTGCTCTTTGCCTATGTTCAGAAGGAGCGGCGCTTTGCCCATGCTCAGAAGGATTTGGGCTTTGGCCATGCTCAGGGATTTGCGCTTTGGCCATGCTCAGAAGGATTTGGGCTTTGGCCATGCTCAGTAGGAGCTGCGCTTTGGCCATGCCCAAAGGATTTGCGCTTTGCCCACGCTCAGGAGGAGCCGCGCTTTGCCTACGCTCCGACGTCTCAGCCCGGGCGTGGCCGGCTGAGACGAAACCACCGTGCCCATCTTCCCCTGCCGGCGGGGTCAGCCAGTCCCTGGGTCTCCCAAGACACGGGATCAAACCGAGTGACCGGAGGAAGGGGCGTGAAAGGGGCACCAAAGCTAGCCGTCCCGGCTTTAAAATCCGGATTTGCGGGATTAGCTTACCCCGCCCGGCTCCACCCCTCGTGCAAGCCGTAAAAACAGCTTGCAAACCCTATTAGCTTGCCCGCCCAAATCCCACGCAGCCCGGGACGCCTTCACACGACCTGGAGCCAGCGGGACCGAGAACACGCGATTCCGGCAAAGCTTGGGACTTTGCGAAGCGTGACAAGCTCCGAGGGGCTTTCGAGCTTCGCCCTGTCTCTTCTTTACGGTCTGGTGAAAGCCTGGAAGTTGGCGCTGTTTTCCCAGGATTGCTCCGGGCTAATCAAGATGATTAAACCTCTGGCAGCCAACAGCTGCTTCTGTCTGGTTCAAGAAAGAAACCAAACCTAGTTTTGGTTATTATTATTTTTATTTTTTTTTGCATTTAGCTTAAATTGCTGATTAACGGAGTCTCTCTGCGCTGCTGCAAAACCGTAGCAATAAAATCATAAAAAATGGGCAAAAACCAGACACTTGCTATAGTCCTCTTTAGTGGACGTGCCCTAAAGCAAAAATAATAATAATATAATATGCTCCAACACTGGAAGTTTTTAAGAAGAGACTGGACAGCCATTTGTCTGAAATGGTGTAGGGTTCCTGCCTGAGCAGGGGGTTGGACTTGATGACCTCCAAGGTCCCTTCCAACTTTATTATTATTATTAACAACCTGTCCCCAGAAGCTGTGAATGCTCCAACACTGGAAGTTTTTAAGAAGAGACTGGACAGCCATTTGTCTGAAATGGTGTAGGGTTCCTGCCTGAGCAGGGGGTTGGACTTGATGACCTCTAAGGTCCCTTCCAACTTTATTATTATTATTATTATTATTATTATTATACGGACAAAAATTCCTACTTGGTTAGGAAAAAATGTTAAGAAAGCATGTAGATTTTTTTTAAACCGGAACTATTTCTATTAGGTATAATTTCAGGAAAATATGAGAAAGAAAATGGATATTGAACGGTACGTGTATTCACAGCAGCCAGAATTGTTTCTGCGCAGCATTGGAAAAACGAAGAAACGCCCTCCGAAGACGACATAATGAAGAAAATACTGGAGATGTGCAGAAATGGATAAATTCACCTTGAAGATTAAAGAAAAAAGAAGATAACGGGATATTTTCAAATACGGGATGTGTTTTACGAATGGCTGGGAAAACGGGCTAGAGAGAGTAGGATTGTATTATATGTTATTAAGCTTAAGAACCGGACAACGCGTTGTTTATTAAGCAGCTATGAAGTGTAAACATGAAAAAAAAGAAACTAATAAAAAAAAACGTAAAAACGGGCTAAGCCAAGTTGCCTTTGAACTGCAACACAATGTTGCAACATCCGCCCTTCCATTCCATTCTGGGCCTCCACCCATTCCAACAGAGAGCCGGTGCGGTTTTTTGTCCCTTTGAAGTCGTTTCCGTATATATTGTTTCCTATTATCGCCACATTATTGCAATATTTATGATCCCTGGTCTGCCGCCAGGATGCTTTGGGGCGGCAGATAAAACAGCTGCACTTGGTCTCCCGAACAGAACAAGAAACCATACAGAAGGAATATTCCTTCGATATATATTCCTTCTGTACCG